GGCCCACACAGCCTGCCTGCCTCCCTCCCTGTCTCACCTCTAACTGCTGGCCCACACAGCCTGCCTGCCTCCCTCCCTGTCTCACCTCTAACTGCGGGCCCACACAGCCTGCCTCCCTCTCTCCCTGTCTCACCTCTAACTGCGGGCCCACACAGCCTGCCTCCCTCTCTCTCTCAGCTCTAACCACTGGCCCACCCGGCCTGCCTGCCTCCCTCCCTCTCTCAGCTCTAACCAGCCTTCCTCTATCACCAAGTACAATGTTGATTTCCATGACAATCCAGAAAATGACCTCCTCTTCTATATTGAAATGCTCTAAAAACATTTTAAAAACAGAATTCAGCTTTTTGTATTTTTTCTTTTGTTTAGAACAGGGATTTCAAGGCCATGGATTACCAGACTCCATTCTAATTACTTAATTGAGGTTATAACTGGCTTAATTAGCCAAGATGAATGTGATCTTCTGCCTATAAAACCTGATGGGCTGTAGCTTTTATAGGTTTTATGGAGCTGTAGTTACTATAAAACCTGTTACAGACCTCAGCTTTTAGATCCAGTTGACTGCGATTGGAGATCGTGGCATTATAAATCAATATCCCAGATCCGCCAGCGTGCACATCTTATTAAATATCCAGAAGCCAATGGAGTTTGTAGGTTACAACTCTGGATCTCTGCCATGACGCACTACCGCTGGCTCAGCATCTCTGGCGCTTTACAAAAATGACTCTTCTCCTTTCCTGCACCCCCGCATTCTTATTCCCGTTTTCAAACGGGTCTTCTTAAACCTGAAATGCTCCACTTGAGAAAAACAGCAATTATTTTTTTAAATAAAGGGTTATTAAATTTAAATCACTACCAGGAGGAGGGAAAGAGAGCATTAAAGTTTCATCAGCCACCCCCAGCAACCCGGTGTGAGGAGGCATTGCTCAAGATCTGAAAACACGTGAGCGAAGTGGCCAAGTGGCAGGGAACCCGCATGTCAGCAACACACTTAGAGCATGCATATGGACACACACGTACATGTGCTGCCCGGCAACTATATTAGGATGCTTCCAGGCCTATCAAGTCCACGGTCCTACGATCTTTGTATACACCTCTTCAATTAAAGGGGAACTACAGTCCCAGTTTCTCAGGGTATTAAATCTTGGTAACAAAATAAATTAAATAAATGATATTGCAGAACTTTGTGAAAGTACTTGGTTGCCATGCTGTTGCTGGCAGACAAGAAACTGCTAGTCTGGCCATGGGTGAGTGTGAGAGTGAGAGTTCGCGTGAATTGGGAAGCAAAAGTCCCTGTGGCTCACTAGTGGCTGTAATTAAATGAGAAACATGGCTTCCTAACAGCATTAATTCTTTTTTGAACTTATGTATATATTTTAAATGATTCCTTACTGTCAAGCGTTTGGCTGTTCAAAACATAAAGGTGACACAAAACAGGGGATCCCATCAGCAGAGCGTCAAACTGTTTCCTTTTCCAAGGGATATTGAACTAGCCAAGAGATGGGTAATAAACCTGTCCCATCGATAAGTTTCTCAATGAGATTCAGCATGACATACGAATGAATAAGTACAGGTTGTGCAGCAGACATTTCACCCCAGAAATGTTCCAAGGTGATCTGCACGCGGAGTTAACAAGTAGTATTTGTCAGAAAATCCATCTCAAAGTTGATATATTGAATACAGTTCAATGACACTCATTCAAATCAGCTGTTCGATGACGGCACTGGTAATGGTGCAGCAAGTCCTACAAAAATACAAGACCTGCTAGAACTTTTCTTTTAGATTAAATTTACCACAAAATCACTACAATGTAAATGACAGAGCACTTCTGCACACTTTGAAAATAAATATGACTATATATTAGCTGTTTGGCAGGCTGCTCTTTTAATTTGCAATACTTAAGATCAAGTATCTAAAAAAACATTGCCTTGAATGTGTCAGTTTTCATGAAAACATTTTAATTTAATGTAGTTCACCACTTGGTCTAAAGCATGTTTATAATGTAATAGGGCTGCTTTCACATCGCCGGAAGTTTAACTGCCTCATTCTGGATCTCAAGACAAATGACGGCAAAAATGACGTTGAAACTTACGAGATGTAAATTGGAGGCTGTACATACCACCGTGTGTGTGGTAGTTTTTTTACACTGTGGTTTGAAATGCACTCATTACCACCCCCAAAATGTAGGAACAGCACTGCTGTTATGCTGTAAAGAGAGCACAACTGGGAGCAGTGAGAACTACAGTAGCTACACTCTACAGCCATGACAAACTAAACACCCCCAAGAACCAGCCAAAGCTCCACTTGTCCCAGAGTATTAGGACCTAAACAGAATGAAACACCAAGCACATCCATGCCAAAAGGGCACCCAAATCTGGTAAAAGGAACCTGCTGTTCTATTTAGACACAACACACTTAACGATGGCAAGAATTTAAATTTGTTCCAGGAAACGGAGGGGAAGGAGGGGTGGTATGGAAACTGTCTGTATCTGGAGAAGAAATGAGAAGTTGATTAAGTAACGGGGGTCACTGCTTCAACAACATAAAACCGTAATTACAGTATGCCTCCCAACATCTAAAATCAAATGTAAAAGTCGCTGAAGTGTTATTATAGTTTTCATTTCACAACATTTTCTTCAGAAATGTACAATGTAATTTTAACCCAGTCCTGGTTAAAGTCCTCTCATGTAAACTTGGATCACTCCTGGTCAGCAGGTGTATCTTCACAGCCCTGCACGGTCGCTCCCCTGCACTGCACAGACCCAGCTGCGGTCCGCCACCCTGGCTCCCAGTGTTTGAGACAGCCTGCTAGGAAACTGACTAAACAGTCTGTATTAATAGATCGTGTTCTCGCCAGGAATGAGCTGGAACTCTGCTCGCTACAGGGAGGGAGGGAGCCAGAGAGATGGGAACAAGGGGAAGGAAGAAGGAAAAAAAAGAAAGAAAAGATGGCCTGCAGTGTGTTCAGTAGCTTAGTGCAAGAGCGCTGGGCTGTAATGTGTTCATTAGTTCTGTGGTGGACGGTGTGCTGGGCTGTAGTGTGTTCAGTCGCTCACAAAATGGTGTGCTGGGCTACAGTACGTTCAATAGTTCTGTGGTGGATGGTGTGCTGGGCTGTAGTGTGTTCAGTAGCTAACAGAATGGAGTGCTGGGCTACAATGTGTTCAGTAGCCACGTGCTTAAGAGTGTCAAGTTGCAGTGCGTTCAGTAGGTCTGATACAATACCAAGCTGCAGGATGTTCATTTCCTCAGTGTTAGAGTTCTGGGCTGCAGCATTAAATTCTGCTGCACTAAAGTCTGAAAACATAGTGTGTTCAGCCCCTCACTGTTAGAGCTCCATACTGTACAGTTTGTCTATGATGCTTAATGACTGTGTCCTGAGGTCTCCAAACCAAAGCCACCGGGATATCAAATGTGTTTGGAAAATGCAGGTCAACACTTTCCTTCTGCAAGGAAAACCTTAGTAAAAGAAAAACATGAAAGTGCATCTAACGTCAAGCAGGTCTCAGTAATTGACTATTGTAAACACCCTTGTCCACTACGAATGCTCACACTTAATGTTCCCTTTTACTTACTAGAAAGATTCAAGAGCTACATCCTCAATCATTCTCTCTCTGCATTTGTCACTTGTGAGTAGGGACTGTTAAACAGACAACCAGCAATCTGCTGTCCAGTAAGAGTGAGGTGAATTGGCATGTATAAGTTGTATAAGGACAAAAGCATGTGTGCACCACATCTCCTCCAACATCACGCCTGTCAGGAGGTAGTGATCACTGGTATGCACAATCACCTGAACTCAGAAATCGAGGATCTAGAAGCAAAACAGATCTGGAGTCTGAAAGCAGGGGTAGAAGGGCTCCAGTAACTCTGGTTTTTAAACTTTCCAGCTACACAAAAAAAAGATGTTACTTAGCATAACTAATCTGCTGGTTTTTCCGAAGGTGTGGACTGCAGTAGGCTGGAACACGTGCAGAAACTTCCTTATGTCGCCTGAAAATGTCTTGTGTGTGCATTTCCTCTTAGAGGTCTCCTGAGGAAGGATCCTAGAAGAATCCAAGCCAGAATGTTTCACACATAACCATTAAAATCCATCCATCCATTTTAGAACCTTTTTATGCAATACGCGGTCATGGGAGTGCCAGAGCCTATCCAGCAAACAGTGGGCACAGGGCAGGGTACACCCTGGATGGGACACCAGTCTATCACAGGGTACACACAAATTCACAATTTTCCCAAAACCCAACTAACCTATCAGCACCTCTTTGGCGGCACATACACTAAAATTGGAACAATACCAGCATGTCTTCAGACTGTAGGAGGAAACATCAGCACCCAGAGGAAACACAGCGAGGACATACAAACGCATCGCAGATAGCACCCCAGGTCCGGATGTGAACCCGGGGACCCAGTGCTAAGCAGCAGCAAGGCTAACCACTGGACGTTCCTACCCTTCCTACTCTTTAGAGACACGCACGGGTTCTAAAGACTCAGAACAAGACATTCGTGATCAATTAAGCAGATGACTTCTATCACCTGGAACAACTCTGAATAGCCGTGAGATTCCAAACAACAGAGTTCAAATTAATTGTCCAGCTGATCAATAACCTCTTTAGAAACTGAATCAGAAATGACGAAAGGTGACCTATAAACCCTACTGGATTGGGGTTCTCCAAGAACAGAGACTACACATCACACATTCAGGGTAGATATAACTGACTGTGATGTAGTGAAGAGTATATTGCTTTCACTGAGGTCCAATACGAAAGAGCACAGTTCAAGCCCACGGCAGCTGCTGTAATCAGAGGTGTGCGATTTCACTAGAGCAGCTTCTCTCCTAGGCCACACGCCTTGAAGGTGTGCTCTTTCACGTCTCTACCCACATGGGTTCGCATCGCTGCCAGCACCTCACTCACACTAACAGCTGCCGCTGCAAAAAGAACAAAATATGGCCACACCAACTACTAGAGAAATAGGCTTGAAAATATTGGCTTTTACTATGGAGAAAGAATGCCAACAGGATTCTGGAGGCAGATTCTGCTCTAGGCATGACGATGCTTAGCACTGCTGGGGCCCTGGGTCCAATTCCGAACAGGGGGTGCTGCCTGTCTGGGAAATTTGGCCTAGCGTGAGTGTGTGTGTCCTGAGATGGACTTGTGTCATGTCCCATCCAGGGTGCATCCCCTCTTGTGCCTGCTGCATGCCGGGATAGGCTCCAGCACTTCCACAAACCTGAACAGGATGAAGCAGATAGGAAAGGGATGGACACATGGATTCTGAATTTGGGCAATGACAACTTCAAAATTTCAGTTTTCGAGTTAAAATAACAAGGACTGATAAAACAACATAAAAAAGCACACACAGCTCACATTCTCTGGATTAAAAAGATGGTTGGACAATACCAGCTGGCACTATGCCAGAAAAAGGCTTTTAACAACTTCTGAGAAGCAGAGCACATTCTTTACATTCGATATTTACTGTACTCCAGCCTGGAGATACTCTTAGGAGTCCTGTTAAACCGTAATTTGGGATGGTGGGGGGCTCAATTGAGAATTGTAACACCCTCCCCCCACCCCATAAAAAAAAACTACCCCTGGTCTTCTTAATGATTGTTTTCACATTTTAAGTGCAGAGGTGAAGGAGTGTTGTCTGGAATGTTAGCGATTTTATTTCCACAACGAAATAAACAGGACGTGGAAGTGTAGTTTACCTCTTTTGTTTTGAGTCAGTTTACATCTTGCATCTCCTACGTGCCCGAGAGACCAAAAAACAACTCACCAGTTATGACAGTGGTTCTATTTTCGGGTAGGGGAGGATGGCCATGGTTATGCGTGGGCGTTTATATCAAACTCTTAGAATCGTTAAAGGAGTTCCTTTTCCCGCTCCCCAGACAAGACAGTCAGGAGACCCAAGTCCAGTTCAAGCTCCACATCTTTCTCGCTCTTAATCCATGGCTTCAATGTACTTTCAGCCTTCCTCACCGCCACAATCACAGCAGCTGCTGGTAGGGTATCAGTCTGCCAGGTCCTTAACCTGCACAGTGACTCCGGGAGGCCCTAAGCAGCCCTCAACCCACAGGGCGTACACAATAGCCAAGCAGAACACACTGTCCTCAGTGACAGGACACAGACAGACAACATAAAGATCAGATCCAGCTGCCTGCTTGTGTAGATGGGTGGGTAATGGTAGTGTGGTTATGCAGTGATACAGACAGGAAGAGCAGACAAACGATGAGGCTAGAGACAGGATCACACAGACAGGCAGATAGATGGATACAGTATAATGACAGACTGGTAATTTGTTACCGACAGAACATGATATATTGATATACGTCTCTCGTGGCCTAAGTGAAGGCTCCAGACTTGATCCTCCCATCAAACAGGAACTACAAAAGCTAGATGATAAAACAGCACGACAGCTTGATTTCACATGTTCACAACTAATCAAAAGCTGCTATATGCTATCGGATGAATCCCGTTAAACGTCCAAGTTACTCCAAGTAGCAAGTTAATAGAAAGATTTCCACCTCGCTCAGACTATAAAAACAGTCAGCGAAAACTAAAATTGCGTTATGAAAAGTAATTTACAGGGGAGGGCAGCTCATTTCAAGTGATTTCTAAAAGAAAAACATTAGGACCAAAGCCCTAGTCCAATGCACAGGCCCATCTTCTCTTAACTTTAAGATTAATCGCTCTCCTGCCTGAAGTTAAACGTGATGCAGGCTTATTTACGTCTTAAAACACATTTCCCAAATACAGACCTGCCTTCGTGCTCATCCAATTCCAATCAACTTTTAAAGCACGTTTGTTATGCGAAGCACTTTCCTGTAAAATGTGACACTCTCTGCACCGAAATGCATGCTTCCCTGCACAAGTTTGCCCCAGAGAAGATTAAAGTAACAAACCACTTACTTCGCTGTCCCTTTAAGAACTGGTCTTGAATCTACTATACGGAAAAACTTTATCATGCAAATCCTTAACTAAGAAATTATAATAATAAAAGAATAGCGAAACACCACCGATTCGTACTTTGTGGCCGTCTACAAGAAACAAGCATAGACTAGCTTGACCCTGCCCCTTCCCGCCAGTACCCGCCCCTCGGTGCAAACCGATTGGTCACACACAAATCAATCAGGAGGGCCCTCCTCGATCATTGGCCCTAGAGCTGTCAACAGAACCTGACAGTTGGTCCTGATTGGTCGACTGAGCTGCCAGTGAAGGGTTGGAATTTCCCCCTTTCCACCAGTCCGGAGAGCGAGCGTCACCCGAGCAGGCCTCTCTCGGTAAAGGAGTCTGGCAGACTGGCGATCACAGCCCCAATCTCCCACTGGTACCAACGGGACCCGCAAGCCGGCCCCCGTTCAGTGACAGCCCGGCCGCACACTCCGCTCCAGACCCCTACCGGCAGCAGCGGTCGAGTACAGGACCGGAGGGGAGGATGCGTGTGAGTCGGTGGCGACTTGGAGGGGAGAAAAGAAGGAGGAGGCGGGGGGAGGGGGGTGTTAGAAAAACAAATACACTCACGCAGACACGCCAACAAGTCTGTTAACCCGCACACCTCACTAAAAATAAAAACAAAACCTACCCAGCGACGCTCACGGCGCCCGTTTCTCCCGGTCTCAGCCTGGGGTGGCGGCGGGGGGGGGGGGGTCGTGTGGACACCAGTAACGGAATGTTTACAAACTCACCCCAGCAGCCCCACTCTCTCTCCCTCGCTCGCGCTCGCTCTCTGGAATCCGACACTCTCCCCTCTGGCCAAAGCCTCGCGAGAAGTCCGTGTCCGTCTCGGCAACGCTCCCCCCCTCCCGCTCCCGTCACCACTGCTGGTGCCTTCTCCTCCTGCACCGGCACACGCGCGCGCGCACCACCCCCTCGAGCCCAGATCTCGAGGTCGGAGCCAGGCGGGGCGGCGCGGCGCGTGTGATCCGCCCACTCCGCTTCCGGCCGCTTTCCTTGGCAAGGGTGGCCGGGGTCCTCTGGCAGTCCAACCTCCTGAGAGTGCATTGACGTCTAAAAACTTTGTATTTATCCCCATTCTGTTAGAGGTGTGGTTGAGTGTTCATCCCGCTGCCTTCTTTTGAATGCCTCTCCAGCAGGGGTTCCCAATCTTGGGCCTGTTGACCCCTTTCCATTCAGCCGGGGTACATGATAAAACCCTTAACTGACCCCCAAAACAGGAGTTTGAAAGGTTTGTTTTCAGCTCTTAAACGTCTATATGAAGTGCTTTTGCACTGTTGTATTCCTCATGCAACTCAGGAAGTCTGTCTATGAGAGGGAAAAAAAATGTGCTAAGGTTCCGGTTGAGCAACCCGTTAGTTCAATTAAGTAACAAACTGCCAGAAGTGGGGCAGGAGTGGGGCTGGGAACCCCTTTGTCCTGTAATATCCATGCCACCTATGACCTTAAATTCTTAACACTAATGTGGGCCAGAAGCCAAGGGGCCTGTAAAGTTAATGAACCTGTTATTCTGACTAAATGCTAATTGAGAAGCTCCCTTTAGGAGTGGATACAACATGCAGTGCAGTGTTGGACTTCATGGAATCAGCTGCAGACTTGATCGGTCTGGATTTCTCACACCTTCCAGGTCTTCGTCTCCATTCAGGTCCCTAGAAACCCAGCAGGTCAGCAAGCGTGTGGGCGTGCAGGGTAACAGCAGCGTGCTGCAGGTGTCCCGGGTTTGAGTCCACTTTCCTCCCAAAAAGGCATGCAGTTTTGGTGGGACTGGGCAGTTCTCCGTTTCAGAGGTGGGAATGCCATGGGATTTATGGGAGCATTGCACAGTGTGCAACAGTAGAGAAACGGCATGAGTACAGTGGGAATCTGCAATTTAAGAACCTAAAGTCAGGTCACAAACTAGAGGAACCATTCAGCCCATCTGGCACGTCTGGTAATCAGTATCTAACCGATCAGTAGATCTCATCCACCTGCTTCTTGACAGAAAGCAGGGTACCAGCTTCAGAGGCTGGGCAGCTTCTTCCTGACACCCACAATCCTTTGTGGCGATTCTAGCGTGGTCTGTGGAGAGGGCGCTCACTGCCAGACGGAAGGGCTCCACAGAGGCCACATCGGACAGACTGAAGCCAAATGGGAGGAGGGAGCAGCACCTCTGTCCTGGAACCTGCTCCAAGATGCCCCCCTCTCCGTCTCTTCATGGCGGATGGCCACGGAGAGCTTGTCGTTTCTGCCCCAGAAGCCCAAATGTGTTTGTTTGCTTGTTTGTTTCTTCCCTCCGAAGCACCCCCCTCCCCCTTTAAAAACACACACACACACACGCCTTCTTTTCCCCTGATCTGTATCCTGTTCTTGTGAATACGGAAGCCGTGTCTTTAATATTGTATGAAATCCCAGGGATCTTGCGTAACTGCTGGCCTCTCTCCAAAGCACAGGCGCAGCTGTGAGGCCTGGTGTGTGTGCGCGAGTGTGTGTGTGCGCGAGTGTGTGTGTGTGCGCGAGTGTGTGTGTGCATGCGCGAGTGTGTGTGCGTGCGCGTGCGCACATTTGTGTGTGAGTGCGTATGTGTAAGTTTGTTCAGGGGAGATAGAGACACAGAGAGCGCTGAAAGTCTCCTGTTGAGGGAGCCTTTTCCTTTTTAGATTACAGTTCCTACGAAGCCGAAAAAGCCTCCTCAAAGAACACCCTTCTTTAAATATGCACGGGGCTCTGTGTTTCAAAAAGCTCTAAA